AGATGAAATTTTGTTTGTATTGTTGGTTTAATCGCAATTAATTTGAACTGATTTGCATGATTAACCAACTCGTATATTGCAGTAAGCAATGCTTCTAATTTTAGCTAACAAATATTGAAGTGCTACAAAGTATACTCAGTATAGTTATCAAACTTTGGTTACGAACATCAAAGACACGCTTCTTTATGCATACAAATTTTCGTGTGTATAGCTTACAACTTGAAGCAGCTGCTCGAATGTCCTTTTTTTGGAAGTGAAGAAAATCTAATTAAATGTGGGCCATATTAATTTAAATCAAGTGTAATTAGTGAAACTAATATATGTACATTTTATATACACAAATTTTGGACCTTAAACTTATGATTTATGTAATATCTCTCCCAATATGAATGTAAGCTTGTATTCACTCAACACCTGCAAAACTTCCTTGAAATTTGCGACCTAAAACAATGAGTCTACGAATGTCCTTTTTTTTTAGAAAACAAGAAATAAGCTGCATTTTCATTAATAAAGTTAGATATATGTGTAATAACGGTAATTAACGATTTTGCCAACATAAATGCGCACATTTATATTATTTATTGGCAATGAATACAAATATTTTGAACTGCAACTATATGAACGTGAAATATTTTGTGGTGCTTGGCAACAACCATTTTCAAAGACAATATGAAACTACGTTATGAAGTTGTAGTTTTCTCATATTGGTGTGCTGCAAACTGGACTGCAAACTGCACTGCAATATAAATATCAAACTTTGGTTACGAACGTCAATGACACACTACTTTATGTATAGAAAATTTCGTGAGCATAGCTTACTTTTTGCAACGGCTGCCTGAATGTCCTTTTTTTTTTGATTAGTGAAAAAGTATAATTTTGTATGTTAATTCATATAATAAATACCTTAGGCAGTTAATCTAAAAATTAACTTTAATTAGATATAGCATTTTTATACATGTTTGGAAATAATTATTTCATACATGACAGCTACATATGTACGTATGAACAACTTAATTTTCAAAGCATCATTTATTTGATCACATTTCACTTTTCATATTAATGAAGCTTCATCGAAGAGAGAGCACCTGCTGATATGCCACGGCAACTACAGCTGTTCGGAACAATTTTGCACACTTAAATATTTACATATACATATATTTGTAACATTTGTACGTATATACAGTTGAACTTCTCTAGCTCCAATTACCATAATCCACAAAGAAGCTTCGAGTTTGAGAGACTTCGTTAGGGAAGAAAATTTGTAGGAAATTTCATTACTATTGCCAATTCAACAGTTCAAGTTATGGAAGCTCAACTGTATTTATATATACATATAATATATTTTCCTAACAAGCTTTTTTCATATATTCCTTACAAGTGAATTCATTTACTGCCATCACTCAATTGAACTACAACGGCTTCATTTGCCAACGAGTGTTGCTAAAAGTAAGCGTTTTTTACATTTTTTTTCCTGTTTTTGTTGCACCGTGCTGTGATTCGCTTTGTTCCATTATGTTAGCATATTTTGTATGGGGTGTAATAAAACAAGGCGCACAAAGGCAAACGAAAGGAACAGCAAGCAAACGTAGAAATCAAGAGTAAACTGAAAGCAAGGATATGTGCACAACTTTGTTATTATAATACAAAGCGTTTGTATTTTTGCCAGCTGCTTGTTGGCATACGATGGTGCTAATGTACTTATATTATGTGCTTACATAAACACGCATCAATTATTGTGCTCTTATACATACAAATATGTATATGTATATAGTTTCAGCACTCATTAATAATATTTGTGTTAAAGCATGGAAGAAAACATATATCGACAAGTTGAAGTAATGAACAATATAATGGATGATTTTTGCGTTGCTCTAAGTATGTTCATTTCACTTTAAAAAAAAAGAACATTCGTGTGGAGCTGTTAAAGGGCAAGTGATTTATATGAAAATTGGCACACGATTAATGCATTAATAGCTACATTCCTTTAGTAAAGTAGAATGCGATAGTGATAATCAGTCAAAAGTTGTGATATTTATGCTTGATAAAAGCCTTCTTTTTACATTTTATATAGTTTTAATGATTTTTATTTCATTTTGATATTTAAAGCATTAAATTGTAAACTTGTAAAAAAAAGGACATTCGAGTGATTTACTAAGAAATCATGCAATTTGCATATTATAAAACATATAATTAGTAGAACGATAGTTACCTTCATTTTTAAAAATATAATTAAACCACATTTTTTTTTATCGATTTCCTTTCTAAATCTGATATATTATCCACAAATTTTAATTAATTGAGCTTTATGAATATAAAAATTGTGATCCACAAGAAAAGGACATGCGTGGTGTGACAGAAATATTAAAGCCAGTTATTTCAAACTTTGTACGAACATTATACATTAAATGTCACGTTCATTTACCAAGCATAAGTTGGAAAACTCATTTACTTAAAAGTATTGAATGTCAAACAGTATTGCCTGCTTAAATTATTTATTTTATTTACAAATTTAAATTTTTATAGCAAAATTAGCGCAAAAATTATGATCCACAGGAAAAGGACATTCACGGTCTGTCGATAAAATTAAAGCCAGTTATTTCAAACTTTTTACGAACATTACACATTAAATGCCACGTTCATTTACCAAGTATGAGCTTGAAAGCCTAAGCCATTCGGACGTTATAAACTTTTTTCGAATTCCTTAGAACTATTTACCGTCAACCAAAGGCGAATTTCACACATTCCTCGTTTACGCTTGACTTTCGTAATTTAATTACATAATGCATTTGACAGTTTAACTACAAAGCAGAATGAGCAGAAAGCGGTATACATATATGCTAAAGTGAAGTAATAGATAGAAACCAAATATGGCAAATACGTAGATATGTATATACTACTAAAATTAAAGATCAGAGTTAAACACAGCGGAAAAGGAGCAAGAAAAAAACGCTTTGTGACACATAACGGATGTCGTGAATATTTCAACTATGTAACAACAAAGGACAATGAAAGCGAAAAGGATTTGAAACAAAGCCAATGGATGCTTTTAGCGGGAGTACAGAGTAGTTGTTGTGAAAACAGCAGCGACGAAAAACTTTTGTAGATTTTTCTTTTAGATAAAGAATGCAGCTATTGCACTTTTAGGAAGGAAGTGGGCGTGCTTGGGGAAAAAGTAACGAAATTAAATTGTGAACAAGTAATGCGAGAAAAATGTTGAAGTCAAATTAACGTAGCAGTAAGCATGGAAGAAAGAAATCACTGCAATCGAGTAAAATGTGAATGCTACGGCAACTGTAAAAAATTGAAAGTCATTAAAAGGGCAAGCAAAAAGTATGAAAGCGTGGAGAAAATAGCTAGCATTTAGTAGTTTTGAACAGCTGTGAGGGAAATTACAAATATTATACTTAAGTGGACAATTGTGGATATAGCAACGAAGGATAATGTCTCCGATTGCAGTAATTTACAATGAGAGGAACATTTTATATTCTCACTTAAGCAGACAATAGCGATGCGCTTGACCTACTTCTGCTGCTAAATGCATGTGAAATAGCCGGAGAAAATTCAAGAAGATTACAAGTACGCAAGATGATTAAGTAGACATTTTACACATGTAGTCTACAGGAACTTTCTCATTATACGAACGTCAAATACAAAGTGCACTGCTCTCATAAAATCTTACAGAGATTGGTTGATATTTTAGGTGGCTACCTTAATGTCCTTTTTTAGTTAATACAAAAATGTTTAAAAATAAAAGCGACTTTGTTGAGAATTAGAGAAAAAATAGTTTTAAATTACAACAAAATTAGTTGAGTTAGTCACGAATTCTATAAAACAAAAAATTTAAAAAAAATGTGTACAAAATTATGTGTTGTACAATTTTTGTTTCGTTTGCTACACATTAAATAACACATAATCTGCTAAATAGAACTATTATTCACGCACACATCATTGAAAATTACTTTCACGTTGATTGGTCACAAAAAATATATTAAAAAAAAAAAAAAATAAAGGATGTTCCCACAACTTGGGCAACATGCACGTTTTTCAGCTGAAACGATGGCGATAAACTTGACCACAGCAACGCTACGCCCGCACACCAATTTGCAACAATATGATGCGGTACGTAGAATGTGGCGAGCATGAATGCTGCAGGCATGAAGCTATTAAACTTCACAGGTGCTTTATATGCTATTAACTCATAGTTATGAGTCTATTGTATGTACATTTATATGTGTTTACCCAATGACAGTTTTCGCGTTAAGCCATGACATTTTACGTTTTTATGCAAATTTGTGTAGTTTTTATGTGCTGCAATATATTGAGTTGAAACTCATTATACGAATGTACATTGCTAGCAGCTAAGCCGTATATAAAGCGCACTTGCAGTGCACACTTATAGCAGGCACGTTACGAATATCCTTTTTCTCAGGCGCAACGGAAAAAAGCATAAAATGATAAATATCCATGCGTACTGTATACATGTAGAATTGCTTTAAGCTGAAACATATTACATGAACGCCAACAGACTTTGACTTTGCTTTGAGCGCTTTTATTTAAAATCAGTGTATATACTTTTTCACAATTGAGATGGCAGATTCGAAAAAGCATTAAAATTAAGAAAAATATGAACATTTCCACATTTTGTATATTTGTTTAACTAGGTATTATGTACAGTTTGTTTTACGTAAATGCTTGTAATCACCGCATGCCCCAACCTATCAAGTGAAAAATCGTTATACGAACGTAGACTGCTTACAGCAATGCTACCAGCGAATTTCAGCCAAATTAGTGGCGTATAGCAAAAACCTCGCATATATCCTTTTTTCAGTTAGGGTATAAAAATTAAAAAAATCATATAGCGGTTTGAGGAACGAATGAAAAAGTAAATAGTAAAGATGTTGTAATGAAAATTGAAAATATCGTTTACGGCCTTACTGTGAAGAGTTTTTATGAGTGAAAATAATTTTGCCAATACTAAAAAATATTTATTTGGTACTCACATAGCCAATTCATGCGCTCGGTGTACTCCACTTTACGTTTCAGATCTTTGACCAGCGCGCGAAAATCCTCGTCGTTGAAATGACACTGTATGATTGTATTGTTTAGCTGCACAATGTTGTATTCATTGTTGCCATTGCTGCCCGGGCCGCCAGCGGTGGGTTGTTGTTGCTGTTGTGATTGTGCTTGTGGTAATGTAGGGTGAGTTGCAGCCACTTGCGGCTGCTTTGCGGTCGGTGAAGGTGTCAACGCAGCAGGCGACACCAGATTGCCATTATTTGCAGCATCCACTTGACCGCCTAAACTTAATTTGCGCATAACATCAGCATTTCCGCCGCCACCAACACCGCCAGCATGCGCCGTCGGTGCACCTTCCACATTGCTGCATGACTTGCTCAATATTATAGTCGAACGATTGGCTATGGAATTGGCGGCCAACAAGTGTTCACCAGCACCGCCGCAACTGCCGCGATGATAAGGAAATTTACCACCACCAATAGTGTAGTTGTTGTTCTTTAGCGTGACTTGCAATTGATTGCTCAACAACTGCTGTTGCAATAATTGCTGACTACTGGGATGCGTTGAGCAATCGCTAGCGCGCCGCCGTCGATCCATACAGCCGCCACCAATGCTGAATGGCTGTAGGAAAGCATTGCTATAGCTACGCTGCTGCTGATGCGTTTGCGGTGACTTTTGTTTGGCTTGACTAGATGCAGTGGCAGCGATGTTCACCGACACGCCAGCGGTGACGCTGCTCTGTTGCTGTGTCGCGGACGCACTTGCTGTTGTTACGCCGCTATTATCGGCATCGATTTCGCTACTATTATATAAGTTATTGGCATTGCGTAAATTCGTTTGCTGCTCGATATCGACGGCATCGGCGCGCAGTAGCTGTTGTCCGACGTTGCTGTCCGTCCCCACAGCGCTGCCGCCGCTCATAATGACTAATTGTTGTGGCTGCGGCGCGGACTGTTGCTTGCAGTTGGCTGCAATTTTGCCGTTACCACGCCGGCTGCCGTGTCGACTCTGCTGTCGCCGGCGTATTACAGTAATGCGATGCTGTCGCTGCTCATAGAATTGCACCAAGAGCTCCTCAAGCACAGCAAGAGAGTTTGGCGCCGTGAGGCTTTCGTCGCCGCCTGTTACCAGCACAGATGACTTACGGCGCACCGTACCCGCAGTAAATGTGGCAGATGTCTCCTCCTCGTCGTCGTCTTCCAGAGAGCTGTGCGCAGTTTCGTCTTCTGCACGCGGCGCTTGCGTTTCCGGCACGCACGCGCCGACGTCTGCTTGTGCACTTCCGCGCGCGCTTTCAGGCGTCGTACTCCGTTGGCTGGGCAAAACAGTTGCTGGCACTGTATGCGTTGTGTGCGCTGCGGCCGCTATTGCCGCTCCCGCGCTTTGGTACGCCGTCGTTGCGTGCTTTGTGCGATAACCTGATGCTGCCGCAGCGCCTTTACGATCCGTATCAGGTATAGAGTGACGCAGCAATATATCTTGTAGTTGTTTGCGCTGTTTTGCCGGACTGTATGGATTTATCAATTTGAAATCACCATAGATTTTAGACAAAAATCGCACGCGCGACGCAATATAACCGATTTTACGTAGCACGCGTACATCAGCGCTAATGCTGCTGCGATGTTTGTGTTTGTGCCGTCGACTGCTACTGCCGCCGCTAACACCAGTAGCGTTGCTCAGTCCGCTTACAGCGCTGCCGCGTCGACTATCGGCGTCAAGCCCCGGCGCACTATGACACTCACCGGGCGCGTGCTCGCGTCGCAAGTTGGCGCGTCGTTTCGCCGCGTTATATAAGAGGTGCGCGGGAAATGCCGGACGCGCACGAAATGTATACACTTCACTGTTTTCGTCGCTGTCGTCACTGCCGCTGCATGATGTATTCGCGCCCGAGGAGGATGTTGACGAAACCGAACAATCTGAGGCGCAGCTGAGCTGATAATACTCCGCCTCCAAATGTTCGGCCGCGAGGCTAAGTGTGATGGGCGTGTTGCTGTTACTGCTTAGACTGTTGTGTGTCGTGCTGGCTGCAGCTGATGCTGTGTTTATGCTGGTGGCTTCACCGCACGTCGTGCGCTCACTTACCGCTGCTGCTGTTTGGTCGTCGACTGATTTGGACGCATGACCTTTAAGTAACGCGTTACGCTCAGCGTCACTTGGCTGCGCGCTCGCTGTGTACACGGCGCTTGCTGCTGTTGTTGTTGCGGTGCTTGTTGTTGCTACAACCGTATTTTTATCGGTTGCTGGTGCTGGCGCTATTGTCGTTGTTGTGTTTATTGCTGTTTCTGCTGGCGTTGCTTTTGGCGGTGTTGGCTGCGGACTGCTGCGGCAGCTGCTGTCCTTGTACATTTATAAGCCAAAAAGCCACAAGATCGTTCGCGCAATTAAATGTGTGTGTATATGGATGAGTGAGCTTGAGCTGTTGGTATGTTGGTGCGTAAATTAGTGCGGTAGAGCTAAACAGCGCTGTTGTGCGTGATTGTTCAATGTGTTAGAGCGCGCGCGCACGCGTTGCCGTAATGGTAGCTGCGAGCACGAGGTAAGTGAAACTAACGGTTTACCGGCGACGTAACTATAAATTTATATTTTTTTAATTAATAGTTTCAAGTTCGCTTTACTAACTATCACTTTTGCGTTTTTTTTTTGGTTCACTTCTATTTGTTTTCTTTTTCACTCGCCTTTTCGCACCGATTATTTGCCGTCTCACTAAATTTTCGCTAAGCTTTTAACACTTACTTTGCCTTTGGCACACTCACACATCTGTAACGCGCTCAAATTTCCGTACATAGGCACGCGCTACCTGCACTTCGTGTACTTAGCCGCGCATTTATGCAATTATCCTTGTGTATCCTTTGTGCGCTTGCCTTACAATTGTGCGCTTGAATGACAATGCCAACTCACAGCTGTGGCATATAGCATGTAAATGCAAATTTTATAGCCACATTTAAGTTTCAAAATCACACACACACGCGCACACTTCCTTGATTTGTCTGCCTTTCAGCTTGATATTCTCTTTTTTCATAATTTTCATTCAATTTCTCTTGAACGCAATGAAATGGCTATGTTTCGCGGCATTTCCATTTCGCCTTTACATATTGCCGTCGTCTCCAGTCGAATTTATTACACCTCATACGTACGTGTGTTTGTGTGGGCTACTCATATCCTTGCCGCTGGTAATTTCGTTTATGCGCTCGACTTCCGTCTTGCTCGTCGTGTGGTTTATGTTAATATTGTAAGCTTCGTCCACGCCATGTCACGCCTCAACGTGGAGAGGTCAGTGTTTAGCGTTAGTTCTCAAATTCAAACACTTCAACGCAAACAAGTATTTCGTCCTTCGTAGACGCGCTGTGAAATCTGTAAGTGTAAAAACGTGTTGTATAAATAATTATTGCTCGAAATTACTACTTCTACTACTCTCTAAAAGTTATATTGTAGAAATTGTTTGTATATAAATTTTCTATTTCATTTCTAGCGAGAAAAATGTACATGACATTATGCAGATTTTTATATTCCTACCCTTGGAGAATATATTTGCATAAATTTGAAATTATCCAGCAAGCACCAAATCGCTTGACAGCACTCATACATAAAAATAATAAAAAGTAGTTGACAATGATGTCCCTAGTGTCGACAGAAGTACCGCAAAGACGGACGGGTAGCATGTAAGATGGTGGCGAGGAGAATAAAGGATAAAAAATTTTTTTTTTGCAACACTGTTGAACCCGCCCTCTATGTGTGGCACGTCTGGCATGTAACCGGAAATTATTAGTAAGAGAACAGGTCTGCACGAAAATTACCCACTCGAGGTTTTCTTAACAAATTTATATTTAAAGACTTCTTTCAAACCAAAGATCAAAAATATTTACATTAGCCATGTAATTTTTTTCGTAGCGAAGTTTCACACTAAAGACCCAAAAATATTTACATTAGCCATGACATATACCAAAACATCCACAGTAATTTTTGGAGGCTAGATTTGGAGAATAGAATTATATTTAAAGACTTGACAACGGCAAAAAAAAGTGTTTGTTTAAGCCAATTTTCAAACCAAAGACCCAAAAATATTTACATTAGCCATGACATAAACCAAAACACTCCAGCTCTGAAAGTATTCTCACGCAATACCCGCCGGGGGAAACAGAGGAAGAGGCAGACCTCCACTCCGTTGGAAGGACCAGTTGGAGAAGGACCTGACTTAGCTTGGCATTTCCAATTAGCGCCAGTTGCGCTCGCCTGGCGCGCTGTTGGTAACTCGGCTATAATCGCAGAAGCGGTGTCTATGCCTCTTTACAAAGAAGATTTGAAAGATGATAAATTTAGTTACTATTGGAAAGATCACAATATAGATGATGGATCAGTAGGCACTTACGATTTGCTCCAATGAGGTAAAGTACAATTACTACACTACTTCGCAATTAATACTAACAGAATACCATATTTACATAGGTTAGGAGTACCAGGATACATAACAGCTATAAGATGAATACAAGCATTGAACGGATTTTTTTTTATTTACTAGTTGGTAAGGGCCTCAGGCAGTTAAAACGATAACAAGTTAGAATTTTATTTATAAATATTTATAGAAAATGCCAAGAATTCGTTTTATTTCGAGTGTTTATCGAAGTAAGAACTTTGAAAATTCGCGAGAATAAAAAATGTGATAAGAAATAATGTGCTCAATCTACTTCAACTGCATACAAGATACATATATAAGTATTGATGAACAGCAAGTAAGCGCTCAAGTATAGAGTTCTTTTACAAACTATAACAAAGTTGCGAAGTAGTCTAACATATGCTTATACATATACATATGTATGTATTAACTTGCCAGCACACGCCTACTTGAAAACTTCTGATAGCTCAATTGCTCTAACATTATTGTTGTTATTGTTGTGTGCGGTTGCTTGTCATGGTTGATCGGCACTAGAAATTTCGTATGGTTGCATGCGGAAAACCACAAGTGCAAACCATTCAGGCGCACGACGGCAGGGTGCAACAACAACAAATCAACTGGCAGCAACAGTACAACAGAAACAATAAATGACGAAAGACAACAACAACAACAATAAGAATAGTAAAAAGTTAAATAACAACTACAATTAAAACTGAAACAACAACAATCCAAACTAAAACAATAAAAAAACAAAATAATAACAACAACAACGGCAAATGGTACCCCTAACAATGAAAATATAACAGCAAATATAGCGACAGCAACAACAACAACAACATCTATAAAACAGCAGTGATAGGCAAAAAAAAAAAGAGTGCCAAACAAAAGCAACAACAATCCACAAAAGTCAACAACCAAATAGCAACTGATAAGAATGTGTATGAAGGATATTTTCACAAAATCGAAACAACAGGAGGTCCTGGTAACAGCAGCAATAGAAATAACCACATAACGTGTACATGTCAGCAGCATAAATGTGTTAGTCGTTGAAAAGGCGCATAGACGTAAATTCACAGAGCGACCAACGCATAAACAAACACATACATGCATACAAATATATTCACACACACACACATACAAAAAAATACATTCATACAAATATATATCAGAATGGGTCAGCTTGTATTAGGGAGGCATAGCAACCAGGCGAGTAATACAAAGTTAGATGCTAGCGGCCACGCAAGAGTGGCAGTGAAGACGGGAGAGGGTGAAAAAATGAATGATAAAATATGTGAGTGTGAGAGTTTGGGTGTTGATGTCTACATTTCGTAAGTTAGGCCATCAAATGAAATGAATAGAAGCAAAATCAAAACAACAAGAACAACGAAAATAACAACTGCCAAATTCAACTAGCAAACTTGGAATAACTAAATGTGGACCTTGTAAGATATTTAAGACACACGCACACACAAAACAGCATGCTCAAGCACAAACACACTCACATTCACGCTCAAACAACACACACACACACGCTGAAGAGAACTACATGCAAGCGGTTTGGCCGAACAACACTGCAGATCGTAATGTAATGGCTTGTGCAGATAAGCAGTTGACAATGGCAGTGCGGTTTTGTTGTTGTTCTATACTTGCTGAAGCAAAAATCGCAAAAGCAATAGAAGATGTCGTGATTTTTATCCACAGCTGGTAACGTTTGGTAATGGAAATTGTGTAGCTGATTGTAGATAGGAAAATTTTCGATATTCGTGGCGTCATGCTGCTGTTACTGTTGCTAAGCTCAAACAAGGATAACGTAAACGATGCAGCGGCTGTGGTAGAGTGGATAATGTCAGGAATAATTGTGTGATCAAAGATTGTGTTAACTATTTTAGGGTATATTTAGGGTAAGGACCGCCTTTGTGGAATTATGGAACTCCTGATTTAAGGTGGAAAAAAACATTGGTTAGATTGATTATTATATAAAAAATGTGTTGCCACAAACAATTAATATTAAAAAATAAATAAATAAAAATAATCAGAATAAACTCT